GAGATAGCCTCAAATTTATTGTCAGCTCTTGTCTTTGCAATTACCTCTGTAAAATCTCCATGATGTACAACAGATCAGTGATGAAAGACAAGCAAAGGAGAGTTGTGATAATTTGAAACATGACATTTAACAGGCGTTAATTCATTATTTAGCGACGTCAAAAGCAGAGGTGTCTTCCTGCAGTAACGTCTGCAGGCCCCACTCCTGTAGCTAGCCAGTTTGGTTATGTAGTTAAGCTTATCATTTAATATAGTTTTTGTTAATATTGTGCAAATATTTGTGATGCAGCCTACTCCTGTGAATGGACCGGTGTCTAGAGATATCAGGATGCATAACTTTAAATTTTTTTCCAGGTTGCCTATGACTGGATATTCTGTTCTGTATCTGAATTGTATATGTCAGGAACTAGCAATACCATTAAATATGAATTATTTGAAAATGAAATATTACAGTGATTTTTAGTGATGTTCTATGACCTATAAAACTTAAATGATTACTAGTCTATCTACATTTCTTATGCCTTGGAAACCCTTTGTATCTGGATTCTAACACATTCTTTTAAAATGTAGTAAGATAGTTGTTTTGCATTACTTTGACAGATAAACAGTGTATGCTAAGGATCACTGTGCCATGCTGAACCAGTGATGCTAAATAATGTAAAAATAAAGATACATTCTTTATATGTAGGAAGCTATGACTAATTCTAGACATGTATAAAAGATAAGTCAGGAATCTGTGACTAGGAGAACTAAAAAAGAAACTAAAGATATGTAAATGGCATACTAGAAATGTCTCAGTCCCCAAAGGGTATGCAGTGGTAACAAAGGGCTTTATTACATTTTAGATAGAAAATACAAATAAAAATAAGTCACTTTGGCAATATAGAGTTTCCCTACTGCTGCCTTTTGTGGATGGCAAAATAAATTCACATACATTTTAACCCCTTAAGGACACATGACATGTGTGACATGTCATGATTCCCTTTTATTCCAGAAGTTTGGTCCTTAAGGGGTTAAGCTACATGTAACGGATCACCTGGCACCCCGACTGGGTACCTCCGTTGAAAGATGCTCCTAGCGCTTCCAGAGGACTCCAAGCACTCCACCAGACACCATAAGCACCGCAGGCTGCAGCTATCTCCCTTCAGAACGAAGCAGGAACAAGCTCTTACAAGAGCTCAGTGATTATAGCAAGGGAATATGCCTAGCATAGCAATCCCTTGTAGCAGATTCCCCCAATAAGAGACAGGACTCAAGTTGAGGGTAAAAATAGAACTCTCTGGCTGCTAGCTTGCAGCCCTTTTTATTAGGTGCTCCCATGAAGGGGAGGGACACACACAGTAACGTACATTAACCAATCACACAATAGTTACATCCCACACATAGCCCTCCCCTCTACCTGTAAACTAATTATCTGTACACACAGGAAAATACAATTATCATAGGTAGGGAAAATACAGTTTTTACACAACATTCATAACTCCCAAAATATACATCACATTCGCATAAAAATACATATTCACAATCAATCCATTCAGGGGAACAACATATTAAAAAATGGCATGAATCAGACCAGGGGTTCAAAAGTTAGTAAAAGTATCTTTTGTTCCCCCTGGCTCAAACAGTAAAAGTAAAACATCCCCACAATGCATCCTGGCTTCCTCCCTTCTGCCCTGGAGATAATTGGAGAAGGAATCTAATTATCTCCAAAGACAGAGCCAAACTCCATTACCCACATGGCAGACAAAAAGACAGTAAAAGACATAAAATTACATACTACACAATTAGTACATAAAACACACATTTCTACATATCCCCAGATAGCTTGGATCTGACTGCACATTATTAGATGAATGGCACTCAGATCACACAAATAAGCCTTTCTGCAGGGAAAATAAACAGTTTAACCTGCAGGGCCATAGTCCAAAGGCAAGAGGCGGGCAAGCAGCCCCCTCCAAGGACACGTGGCGAGGTCGGTTTCGCCACACTTCTCCCCTTTGCCCCCCAGACTAACAGGGTATCTGACCTCCTGCCGGTCAGTGCCCTGGTTAGTCCAGCAACCCACCCACGAAGCACAAACAGCAGTACAGCCCACCCACAATAAATGTTTACTCCACCTGGATAAAGTAGCAACTTGTCCATGTCCAGGTGCCTCACCACGGCTGTGTGGGGAGCTGGTAGACTGCCTTGGTGGGTTGCTGAGTGGGCAGAGACCAGCGGTACTCTGCCCTGGTGCCAGCGCTACCACCGAAGTAGCCTGATTGGAGCCTGGTTGTGGGAGGGGGAGACCGACCGTCTCCCCTCTGGGTACACAGCTCTGGGGCTGGGGAACAGGACCGACCGTCTCTACCCCTTGGGCTGTAAGCGCAGAGACTACGGTCCCATCTGCACAGTTGCGGGGCTCAACATCTCCCCTTGGTGGGTTAGGCTGCCGCTGGAGAGAGGGTGTAACAAGCTCCTCTCTCTGGACTGTCAACTGCCGCTGGGGAGAGGGGTTAACAGGCTCCTCTCCCTGACACTCTCTCTGCTGGTGGAGAGGCGGACCAGCTGTCTCCCCTTTCATTATTTTGTCCTGCTGCTGGGGTGTGAGACTGACGGTCTCTGCTCCCTGCAGGACACACTGCCGCTGGGGAGGAAGGACGACACCTTCAGCTCCCTGGGGTACACACTGTCGCTGGAGAGGAAGGATTGCACCCTCAGCTCCCTGGGGTACACACTGCCGCTGGGGAGGAAGGACGACACCTTCGGCTCCCTGGGTTACACACTGCTGCTGGGGAGGACGGACGACACCATCAGCTCCCTGGGGTACGCACTGCCGCTGGGGAGGAAGGACGGCACCTTCCGCTGGGGCAGCCTGTAGAAAGTCAGGCTCAGGGGAAGGAAACAAGGGAGGACAGAGGCCAGCGGCGCTCTGCCCAGTTGCCAGCTCTTCTGCTGGGGGGTCAGGGAACAAAGGAGTTGGCTGGGGAGGAGAAATATCACTTACCTCCCCCTGGTACTCCGGCTGCTGCTGGGGGGGGAGGTCGATGCTCTCCACTTTCTGTAACTCCAGCTCTAGTTGGGGATCTGGGCCGGTTGCCCAGCATCCCTGTAGGGCCGGTGGAGAGATCTCGGTCCCATCTCCACCTGCCTGCAGGGGGTCCTCCCAGGACCAGTCTATGAGGTCCTCTACCTCGGGTACCTCTGGTTGCTGTTGGGGAGGGAGACCGGTTGTCTCTTCCTCCAATAACACATTCTGCCGCTGGGGAGTGAGACCGACTGTCTCCCCTCCCTGTAAAACATACTGCCGCTGGGGATCTGGGCCGGGTGCCCAGCATCCCTGTAGGGCCGGTAGAGAGACCTCGGTCCCATCTCCACCGGCCACCTCGGTTTCTTCCTCGTCCCACTCTACCTGTGGCTGGAGTTTCTCCCAACGTGCCCACTGGCCTTCCCTCAACGCCCTGTGTTGTAGGTTCCGGGTCACCATGTCCCACACGAACCGCACGTATTTCTCCTCTGGATTGGGTCCGTAAAACTTCAGGTGCAACCCTACCATCGTGCCAAACTCTAGTACGGAGTAGCTATACGCCATGCTTGCTGTAGCCACTGCTGGTTCCATTATGTTGCTGAAGATAAGGACGCTGCACAACTCCACACGTTACCGGTGTCTCCGAGCTGCTTCTCCTCGCACTAGGATGCCATCCCGCCGCTTGCCACCAATGTAACGGATCACCTGGCACCCCGACTGGGTACCTCCGTTGAAAGATGCTCCTAGCGCTTCCAGAGGACTCCAAGCACTCCACCAGACACCATAAGCACCGCAGGCTGCAGCTATCTCCCTTCAGAACGAAGCAGGAACAAGCTCTTACAAGAGCTCAGTGATTATAGCAAGGGAATATGCCTAGCATAGCAATCCCTTGTAGCAGATTCCCCCAATAAGAGACAGGACTCAAGTTGAGGGTAAAAATAGAACTCTCTGGCTGCTAGCTTGCAGCCCTTTTTATTAGGTGCTCCCATGAAGGGGAGGGACACACACAGTAACGTACATTAACCAATCACACAATAGTTACATCCCACACATAGCCCTCCCCTCTACCTGTAAACTAATTATCTGTACACACAGGAAAATACAATTATCATAGGTAGGGAAAATACAGTTTTTACACAACATTCATAACTCCCAAAATATACATCACATTCGCATAAAAATACATATTCACAATCAATCCATTCAGGGGAACAACATATTAAAAAATGGCATGAATCAGACCAGGGGTTCAAAAGTTAGTAAAAGTATCTTTTGTTCCCCCTGGCTCAAACAGTAAAAGTAAAACATCCCCACAATGCATCCTGGCTTCCTCCCTTCTGCCCTGGAGATAATTGGAGAAGGAATCTAATTATCTCCAAAGACAGAGCCAAACTCCATTACCCACATGGCAGACAAAAAGACAGTAAAAGACATAAAATTACATACTGACACATTTAGTACATAAAACACACATTTCTACATATCCCCAGATAGCTTGGATCTGACTGCACATTATTAGATGAATGGCACTCAGATCACACGAATAAGCCTTTCTGCAGGGAAAATAAACAGTTTAACCTGCAGGGCCATAGTCCAAAGGCAAGAGGCGGGCAAGCAGCCCCCTCCAAGGACACGTGGCGAGGTCGGTTTCGCCACACTACATTTTAAAATTCAGGCAGACCCATTGTGCACTTACAGTAAGCTTATACACATGAGTGTCAAAGGGGAGCAATTTCAAACTAGACTCAAAGTCCTAGGGCAGGGGTAGGCAAGCTTTTAGCAGCACTGTGCCGATATAGTATTGTGATGTCCCGTAGCGTGCCGGTCCTATTTTTTTAAACTGAGGTGTGTATGCTGCCGTATTGTGCTTGTTAATTTTACTGTAATTGCTTTGTATTGTTGTATTTGTGCGTATATGCGCTATTATATTGTATATGTTCATTAGTAGTTTATGGTATCGTGTATGATACACATGAATGTGGGCTGTGTATGAGGGCTGCTTGTGGACTTGTGTGTGGATGGATTTGTCACATTGTGTATTTGGTAGTGTGTGTATGTGTGGGGCTGTTTAGGGTATTGCATGTGAGAGGCTGCATGTGGGGTTGTGTGCATGTATGTGGATTGTTAGTGGTGTTGCGTTTGTGGGGATTGTGTGTGTGTGTGTGTGTGTGTGCTGTTCATATTATTTGTATGAGGGGAGGGTTATTCTGCAGCTCTGTGTATATCTAGCAGTGTGGGTGGGTTCCAGTGGGGACCAGGCTGGCCAGGTACAGGTCAAGGACAGGAGCTGCGATAGCTGTCGAGGGCTGCTCTACTACAGTGTGGATTCCCATTCACAAGTGCTGGGAGTAACTGATCTGAGATCACTTCCTCTGTGTTGCAATGCATAAATTGAGGATTTTCCTTCACCACCTCTTCGTATTAGCAGATATCTGAAGTTTTACTGGGGCTCCTGATAGGCCAGAGTGGGTTTGGCTCTAGCAGCCTTGAGTGCCGTGCAAAGACACCTCGAGTGCCGTGCATGGCACTAGTGCCGTAGGTTGCCTACCCCTGTCCTAGGGGATCATTTGCTCTGCATCCCCTTCATCTTCTCTTGGAATCTTTTGAAGCATGTACATCTATTCTTTAATCCTTCTATGCTCTAGCTTTTTATGTATAAAATGTTCAATAATATTTCTCAGTATTAAGCCAATATAGTATTCAAATAGGGACTAACAAATGTCGGCATCTAGTCTTTCCAACCGCTGCTAGAACAGTAATGTATTAGGGGGCCCATAATTATTTAGGGCCTCTCTCCATGTAGTTACAGTGTTTGGTTTAACATGTATATGTGTGTTTTTATAAGTTGGTTGTTGAGCAGAGAGTATTAGAAGCAATTAAATGCCTGCCATGAATGGTAGATTCTTCAGATTCTGCCTCAAAGTTAATAGACAGTTGCTTAAAATTCCGTATTTGATGCTAGTATCTGATCTTCTAAATCCCCTTAATCCTAAGGTCAAAGTCAAAACCTCAAGAGACCAGAAACAGCTTTATTACTGTATCTGACAGCTCCATTAAGACAGCAGTGCTATGCAGGCGTTCCGAAAAGATCTTGCAAAGCATGTATGCTCTAATTGCATACATTAATTATATTTTACAAATATCAAATGTTATTTAGCCGCATTTGTGAATAAGTATAAATCAAATAATTATATTGCTTAGCACATATATGGATGTTATCTTTGTATATTATGTTCTGGTGTACTAATTATATGGCTTGCATTTTTATAAACACTTTTTAGTATCACTGTAGTGATGTTTTTGTCACATACAATTGTCTTGTGGTAACATCAGGATCACTGCAACCTGGCAAATTAAAGGAACAATGTACTCACTATAACATCAAGTGAAGGTGTTATAGTCCCTACAGGAGTTCACCCCTTTAATATACCCCCTTTAATTTTATATTTTAACAATTTGAAGGATTCCACACCTCTAAGGCCTCTGGAGAGAAGAGCCAGGAATGTAAGTTCCAATTAACTTCTATAAGGAGCATTGGATTAGACCACAGGGAGGAGCAACTGACTGCACAGAGGGAGACATAGTAATGAAGAAAGGTAAATAAGCCGTCAAACTGGGTGGCAGGAGGAGGTCTGCGCGGTGGGAGGTAAGTATATGCCACATTATTCAGTTTTAATTTCATTACAATTAAATAGAATACAAAATGTTAAACTTAAAATATGTTTAGAATCAGTGAACTGATAAAATAAGTTAAAATAAATGAGTCACAAGGGCTAACTGTAGCTATGTATTTCTTGACTTTAGGGTATGACAGGTAGAAGTAAGACTGGGAAAAACACATAGATTACATAGAGTATACATTACAAAGCCTACACCATGGAGGACTACAAATAGAAATGAAGTGGAACTTGATGAGAAAAGATAACGCTCCAATGGGACAATAGGCTATAGCAGGTACAAAGCTAAACAAGCAGCAGCATGTCCTGGAGCCGGAAACACTTGCGTGCCATGTGATAGACTTAACAACTCCAAGCATTGGGACATCACATTTCTTGTATTTAGAGGGAGTGAGCAAGAACAGCAATGCACTGGTTATGCGGAACCTCATGCATCTCCCTTGTGGATGTCTGGTTTCTCAGATCTGACCTAGTATGATGTCTGGAAGTTCTCATGTCTGTCCTAGAATTACATCATATGCTGAGTATTGGGCACGCTGACTTTTGCCTTGGCATGATGGTTGCACGCACCAGGAACCTTCCATGCACCACTCTTGGCCCCCCACACTAGGGCACACTTATGCAGCTGAGACCCACCACATGAGGGACTCCCTCAGTCCCTATCTCATCCACACAAAACACCAAATGACTCACCTCTCACTCTCTCCTTGTTTATTGAGACCGCTTTGACTGTTCCCCATAAACTGGAAAGCCTACTCCGCCAATCACACATGAGGTGGGTGGCAGTACGGTTGTTAATATTGGCACCCAAGTCCAACGCGTATGAGAAATTGGAACCGATTAAGAGGGAGATACGTCTGGATACTGATATCTGGTTGATGAAAGGGACGGAAGACATGGGCTACTGCATTAGGGCATTCTGAATGTGTGGTCCACACAGAATGTGGGACTGTTGCCTGCTGCAATAGAAGGCACCTTCAGCCAGTCCCCAAGGAGCTAGGTCCTGAGAAATTAGAACCACAGCTGGTGAAATCCCTGGTCATCAGATGTGCACCTCCCTCCTGATAGGAGTCTGGTGTGGCTAGAGCACTGCCTCCAGTGAAGTCACAACCACTCTTACAAGGACTTGAGGAATGTCCTTGCAAAATTACTTTGAGTGATAGAGTTGTGAAGCTTCCAGCGCATTACCGAGATTAGCGCTATAGATAGAACAGTGTCTTGAAGGGGCGGATACATCCCGTAGTAACTGTGGACTAGGTAGTCTACCCAGATGTCCATGATTGTATAGTTATTAAAGTATATTTATTTCTTCTTTTGTTTATTTATATTGTTTGTTTAAAAAAAAAAAAAGTATTGTTATTAAAAAGGAGGATATGTGATGAGAGCCTGAGTGACATCACAGAAAGCAGTGGTTGTAGCAACATGCCTAGATATTTAAAAGAACAAACTGTGGTCAGTGTGGTATTTGTATTTGTTCTAATACATAGTTGAGGATTTTGTAGTTTATGTAATTTAGGTACAGTTCCAAAGACCTTTCTAAGAGTTTTGTCAGTGTTTAGGAAGGGTTTGTTATCCACAATCCACTTTTCTACCTCTGCGAACGGGTATTGGAGCACAGCTTCAAGCTGTGGTAGATTGGGTTTACTAGCGTAGATTACAGTGTCGTCTACATACTTGTGTACAGTTGAGGCTTTGCAGATGTTTGGCAGATCATTTATAAATATTTTGAAAAGTAGAGGGCTTAGTATGGAGCCTAGGGGAACACCACACATGCCCGAGAGAGGGAGGCGCTATCAGAAATGGTCACATATTGCGATTGGTCCAATATATGATCAATACCAGGTTAGCGGACAGTCACCAATACGTGAGTTAAGTTTTTGTAAATTAATGCTACATACATTATATCTTTGTCTCAGCTTTTCTTATTGTTTGACCTACAATCTCTGAGGGTTGTATATTGGACCTTACACCAGTAAATGTCTACAGACGACTGAATTGCATCATAACATCTATTTATGTAGGTCTCCTATAATACAAAGACATTTTGGAGGTCACATCTCCTATATCCAACGTATCACAGCAGGGTTTTTAAAAAATATTTAATCAGATGAAAATATATATGAATGTGTAAATTTATATTAAATGACTGAACAATACATTTCCATATTTTACAATATCAACACTTTAACTCTTGACATGCAAACCTGATAAACTGAAGATGCTAGAATTAATTCACATAAATCACTATGAATGTTAGTTTGCAGCAGTATCTGCAAACAAGCAATCAAATAAGCTTGATAAGAAAATTTAAATCTGATTGCAAATGTAAGTGGTAGGCCTAAATTTAGAATGGTGCATTGGGGTGGCTTATCCATTGTGTAATCACAGGCTGTTTTCTATTGGTACTGAAAAGACTAGGGAGTCATTACGTAAGAAGGTGGAGGGAATATTTAAAAAGCAATATGTTCCCGTACGTGTACTATCTAAAGATTCCCTTCTATAAATTAATCCTAACCTGACAGATAAATCATACACGTGTTTAAGAAATAGACGTATGGCTGTTGTTTAGCTCTCCATCACTGTGAAAATGTAACTTTATCTTACTCAACCAAGTAATAAATCTAAAGCCTACACCAAGCAAGATGTTGGTGTGACCCTGGGCTATAATAAAACATATTTATAAAGGAGTAGTGGTTTATGTATGTGGGGATTCATTAACCTTTGCAAAATAATAATCCTGAGTGATCAAACTGTGGTATATTTTACCCTATAGAATTTATAAACCAGTATACGTGGAAAAAACATAATTATATAGTGCAGATCATTTAATATTCACAAATTAAACTCATAGAGTAGTATAGTGAATACACCTTTTTAAATAGTGCACTTTAGATTGCACTCACAAGATTATAATTGATTGTAGACGCATCACATAGTGTATGATGACTGACATGATCCTCAAACACGATAAAAAGGCATGTAGGAGTGGGTGAAAAAAATAAACAATCTGATTCACTTTTAGTCATTCTTGGATTTAAAATTTATTCCTTAGATATTGTTTTAAGGGATTCTTATCAAGAACTATTTTTATGGAACCTTCTGACTTCCTTTTATCTGTATATGTTCTATTAGTGCACTTATCCACTTTAAAGAGGGTAATTCTAAACCATAGAGTATTTTTGATTCTATGATATTGTGGTAAATTTTTACCATTATTCTGATATTTGTTCTTTTATATCTCCTTAAATATTTTTCTTGAGTTATATTTGGGACTTGCAGATGACTTTGAAAATTCTCGGCGGGCAGACAATGGAATGCAAGCGCTGTGTCCGTCATCCCCACAATATTTATTTATAAAATATTTTACCAGGAAAGATACATTGAGATTTCTCTTGTTTTCAAGTATGTCCTGGGTATAGAACGCATACACATCACGTTCACTAATGGAACTCCCAATCGGATGAAAGACAGCTGTACTACTCGTTGCTGACAGGCTGGAGAAAACGGTGGGAATAATGAAGACCGATATAAATGAAAGTGACACAGATCACATACACAAGAGATCGGATGA